GACTACCACACGCCTTACGTAACCAGCTGAGGACTTACAGGCCTGCACACGACGGCTTGGCAAGTCTGTCGTCCCACCGGCTGCGAAGGGATCGGTGCCTGGGAGGATGAGTCAGCTGCTCCATCATTTAGAAAACCAGGGGCTGGGACGACACAAGTTTTCTCCGCCTCCCTGCCCGCACCCTCATTCGTTCTCTTGGCTAATTCACCGCACGCTGTCCAGCTCCAACTGGCTCAGATACTCGGCTCCGCGGAGCGGGCCTCTCCGCCGGCTGACTTGGCGGAACCAAGGCCCTGCCTCTGCCCTGAGCCGGATCTGGCGACTCAGCACTTTCGCACAGAGTCTGCTTGCCTTCTGTTTTCCTCCTGCCTCGCCGTGCACAGGGGCTCCTTGTCTTGTGCGTCCGTCTCGAGCACGTGGCACGCTGCTGGCTGCACAGTCAGCGGGTGTTCACCCGACGTGAGACGTGCGGACGGATGAACGGACAAGCGACCGGAGTCCCCGTTTGCTGGTGTCACCTTCTACAATTCCCCACCCAGGGCCGCACCTGCACTCCCGGGGGGCCACGCTGTCCTGCGGGCCTCCTCAGGGAATGCAGGCCTAGCTGTCAGACCTCCCCGTGTCGAAATTCAGAAACAAGTCGGACTCCAGGATCAATGACTTCTTTCCGGGGAGCACAGCTCCTCCACGGTCCGTTTCAACTTCTCTCTTTGCGTTTATGATCCCAGTGCAGACCCCAGGGGAAAAGGAGAGTCACACGTAAGGAGAACGGGAAAGGGCGGGCAGGCAGGTGTTTCAGCAACAAGAGGGGCCCCACTCAGGATTCCTCTGTGGAAACCTACGGCGAAAACTTGAAAATACTCAATGGTGACGCTTGCAATCCGCTACTCCTCAACGAAAATCACCAACTTGGGAGGAAATGGAGAAATCATTTTCCAAAACAAAAGCTCTACACGCCCGGTTCGAGGAGCAGCTGAGCACACACAGAAGGCAAACCCAACCACCAGCGCCAACCCCAGCGTCCGCGTGCGATCGCAGACCGCGGCCTAGGCCAGGCGCTTCGGAGCTCGGACACACTCTTTGGGGCAAACATTTTAAACAGTGTTGACTCGGCTGGAAATGAAAGCGCCCGGGGGAGGGCATCCCAGCGAACAGGGTTTCTGAAAACACCCAACCCCAGAACAATGGCGAGGAAGCTCCGGCACCCAGCCCACAAAGGAGGGGAAGTGAGTCAGGCAACGGCCGTCCTCACAGAGCCTCGGACTCAGAACCAGGACATGAAAAGCCGAGCCTACATGGTCCTTTCTCTCTCCTTGACGGCGCACGCAGTGCTGGGGGTGTGGACGCCGCAAGTGTCAGCAGATGGAGAGGAACCCACTGGGCGGAGGCACCTGCTGTCTTTGATCTCGGAGGAATGCACACGCGGACTGCTGGCCCCTGACCTCTCCCCGGCTCACAGCAATGCCCACACGTCCCATGATGCCGGTATTTCCACGTCCACCTGTCCACGGGGCAGAGGAGACCGAGGCGAAGGCCCCAGCTATGTTCAGCATTCGTTTCTCCTGCTGTGCGCGCATGAGAAGGGGACGCTGGCGGCTACGGAGCACTTTCGTTCCGTTCGCCCGGTGTGGGGGGATTACTCGGCTGTGTGTGTGCTCGGTTTGTTCGTGGGTTTTTTTTAATCTGTGGCTATTTCTATAGGCTGTTGGATCCCTGAGGCCGTGCTCAGGAAACAGCTGCCTCCTTCATCTCCAAAGGCCCCCGGGGCTTAGTTACATAGCCTTCTGCGCTAAATGCGGCAGTGGTTGGAATTCTAGGAAACTGAGCCTGAAAAAACAAAACCGTGATGTTCAAAGAGAAAGCAGCATGACGAACGCACACGTGCTGCTGTCTGCTAGAAGAATTCTTCTTTAGGGGGCGTAGGGGGAGCACGCACGGGGGACCTCTGGAATACTTCACTTACAGAAAAGTCGCAGTCTAATCTTTAAGCAAATGCCTAAGAAGAAATAACTGTAGGCTGTGTCCTGTCTTTGGAAAACCATGCCACAAATCATCAGAACGATCGGATCTGTGTGTCGTGCATGAGGTATTCTTCCCACCTCAGCCGATGGCAACTGCCATGTGCTCCGTCCGAGAGTCTGAGAGTTACCTCGAAGCCTCTCTCCTCAAACCCCACACATCCAACCACAGGAAATCCTGGTCGTTCCACTTTAAAACACATCCACGGTCCAACCCATCCCCACTGCCCTCGCTGCTACCTCCTGAGGCTCCAGCTGCCGTTGTTTCTCAACTGCAGTGGCATCCTACCCGGCCGCCCGGCCTCTGGCTTCAAAACATCTCCGTGGCCTCCTGCCCCACACGGAAAACAGCCTGAGTCCTCACAGTGGCCAGGACCCTGCCTGAACTGAGACCTGCTCCATTTCCAGCCACGTCCCCATCACCACCCTCTCCTTCCTCCCTGTCGGATCACCTTGTTCCTGAAACATGCCGGACGCAGTTCACCTCAGGGCCTTTGCACAGGCTGTCATTGTGGCTATCGTGAGGATGTGCCACTCCGACATCCAACTCTGGGAGCATAACGGGCCCAGGGTCCGGGCTGTGGACTCTGAACTTTATCCCTGTGTTTGCATCAGGACCCGCCTCCCCGGGGCTGCTCTGAGCATGGCTGAGCATGGCTGGGCCCCAAAAGCAGGCGATTGAGGAGACACGGGACTTGGGTGGCGGACCTGGGCTCCAAGACTCTCTGTAGCATCGGCGACCTTCCTTAGACCCAGCCCTGCCTCCCTCTCTCCTTCACCCGGGTCAGACTCGCACCAGGCCTGACCCCTCTCCCAGGCGTTCCCAGCTCCGGCCTCTTCGTCCTACCTCCCGATGGCCTTTCCTATGGTCGTCCTACTGATAAAACCCAACAATCTACTCCATCGGGCACTGGCTCCTTAGAGGACTCCCACTAACATGACCCCCTTCTCCCCTCCCGTATTGTGCTTGCTCGTGATGTTTGTCTTCCACTGTCTACTCAAATATGAGTTCCGGCGGATACGTACGTACATCCGTGCATCCCGAACGCCTGGCCCAGCGCCTGACGCATCATAGGTGCTCGGTAAATACGTGCAGGTTAAAGGAATAACAAATGCTTTACAGTAGCAGCAGTTGTTAATGTTGTCCTCTACATAAAGGAATACACGCATGGCGACGCCAACCAGTGGCCCCCATTCTGCTGCCTCCTGGATCCCCTGACCCCCTTCTTCTATCTCACCCTCCCCTTCTGTAGGTTTTCCAGGAGCAGAAATGAGATCCGAGCGGTAGGTTGATTTTAGGAAAAGATCCTGACCAATAACTGGATGGAGGTCCATCGGTTCTGGGCAACAGACACACACTTGACGGAGGTGTTATCACCACCCAGCAGCCAGGACCTGCAGGTCGACGACATGGACCGTTTTGAAGGTTTGCTATTTCTTATCAGCTTAGATATCCCTCCAATGGGACTCACACTGGCCCACCCTAACCACGCCTCCACACCCCGGTCCCCCTGAGCGTCTTCTGAGGGCGTAGGAGCGGGGACAGCCCACGCGCAGGTATGATTGCGGACGGGAAACCGGTGGCTTTCACCTCAGGTTCCATGGCTGGGTGGGGGGTGAGGGGTGGGGGGCTCTACATGAGAACATGCAGACATCTCTTCTCTAAAGGGGGTTCCCACAGGGTTCCATCCGAGGGGTGACCCCGGCTACATGTTCTGGGAGTTCCCTGGAGGAGGAGGCGGGGGCCCTTCCCACCTGCCCCGGTCCCTGCGCAGCCCGAGGAACAGCGGTTACAGTGTCGGGCTTCCAGGTCCCGGCCCTGGCCTTGCCACTGATTGGCCGAGTGAAATTTCCTCCCTGGGCCTCAGTTTCCACATGTGTAAACCAGGCCTGTAGCATCTGTCTCCCAGGCCCTCGCAAGATCCGCAGGATGCCCAGCATCTGCCCATAGGGAGCGCTCACGAGCACCAGCTGGTGTGACACCGCCGTGGACAGCGCCACGGGCACTGAACTGCGTGTCCCCTGCAGAGGTCGTCCCTGCAGCTCTCAGCTGAGTGCCCATAGGAAGGTGTCTGATGGCAGCCACACACGCGGCGACGAGGGAGATGGTGAGAAGGACCCGCTGCTCAGAACGGGATTAAGGAAATGGCAGGGAAGCATCGAGCCCAGGCCCAGCTCCAGCTCCGCCTTGAACTGAGCGTTCCGGGGGCTCGGCTTCTCCGCCGAAGGGGAAGGCCCAGCGGTGAGGACCCGAGGGAGCCAGGCATGTCTGCTCGCACCGCCAGAGGCCCAGCCTTCCTCTTGCATAACCGGGAGGTCAGCAAGGGCAGCGTCCTAAGAGCCGAGTGTCATTTCTGATCAAGGTCCCAGGCAGGCCTGCCTTCCTCAGATACCGGGACAGGAGTTCATGGGGGGCGGTGCGCACAGGGGGTTGGGGGGCCCTTGACAGCTGCGGGGCCAGGATCTCAACCGTCACCCTCACACCCGCGATTCCCCGTGACCTGAAGGTTCCCCAAGACTCAAACCACAGTGGAAGCGGGAGAGTAAGGGAGAGGGGAGGCCAGTTTACCACTCTTAGCAAGTTCTAAGGAAAGCCTAGAATTCGTCGTGATTATCTATAGCCCATCAGAGGAGGGCTAACAGCGGGCAGAGGCCTCGGCCAAGTCAAGGTGAGGCCCTGTCTTTGCAGAGCCCGGAGGAGAGGGCAGGGGCAGTGCCTTGTACAAACACGAAGACCCCCACGGGGCCCTGGGTGGCGCTGGCGGAGGCCAGCCAGCCCGGGGAAGACTAGCCTGGGCTCCCCCTGCCAGCCTGGGGAGGACGGGCGAGGGCTCCCCCTGCCAGCCTGGGGAGGATGGGCGAGGGCTCCCCCTGCCAGC